ATCGATTACGTAACACATAAATATTATATAAAATGTGACATCAGTGGTATTTTTTCTCTGGGCTGTTCCTAACCCTTAAAAAAATTTAACTTATGTAACTTGTAAATATAATAATAACGATAGAATCGAATTTATTAAATTGTTTTTACAATAATAAACCGTCAAAATACCGATTGTTAATGAATTGCATACACCGGAGCCATTCCATTACCAACCCTAGCTACAATCAATGTTTTTTTTTGACATTTTTATTACTAAAAAAGAAATTTAATGAATTCAATTTCATAACGATAAGCATTATTATATTTACAAGTAACGTCAGTTAAACTTTTTTATGGGCAATGCTAGGGTTGTTTACGTCATAAGATATAACAATTTACAAATATTATGAAATTCCGTGGCGGAATCATGGGTCAAATATTAGTTTTTTTAAGCAGAAAGCATTAGAAAATTACATTGCCACAAATATTTTTAAAAATTTACTAACAGATTATGGCTTAGTACGAATCTTTAAAAGTTTCAAATACAACTAAAATCTTTGCAATTTTATTTTATTTACTGACGTTATAAATATTGAAATTCATTATTCATTCTAAAAAATCAAAAATGTCAGATAATTCTCATGTAATTCCAATAGAGGATGATTCAGATAAAAGTAAGAAAATTTCGGAAATTGTCTGCTCACCTAACTTAAAACATGTTGGTGTGTTGTACAACGATGGCAATATTAGTCTTTGGCCTATTGAGCAACCTGAAAAAATAATTAATTTTGGCATGATTTACATTGGAGAAAGTGGTGAAAAAATATTTGCAATTTCGAATAAATATATTTCATTCAGTATTAATAGAGACCAACCCTATAATTTCAGTAAGTTATGAATAAATTTAATATTTTTGCTATTTCAATAAATTCAATTGCATTTATCGTATTTTTCATATTTTCAAGAAATTTTAAATTTTGAAAATGACAATATTGAAAATGAAAATGAGGTATTATTAAGATTTCCAGATTGTCAAAATAAAATTGACTATTTATCCTTTATTGATAACGGAAATATTATAATGGTCAATACTAAATATTATAGAGCATATGTTTTTTCAAATAAAAATACTATTAGTTGGGATTGTAAATCAATGATCGAGCTGAAATATTTTAAAACAATTTATATTACTCCTAAAGGCAAATTGATCATATTTAACGACTCAATTTATGAAATCACGATGTGGGACGTTGAAGGATTATCGATTAAAACTTGTATCTTAATAGATTGGTATTTTACACCTGAATCTATTGAAATTAGTGATGATGAAAAATTATTAGCAGTGTGTGCAAAAAATGTGAAAGCTAAGAAAACATGTTTATATGTTTTTTCCACCGAAACTGGGATAAGTCTGTCATCCTGTAAGTTTTCATATTAAAATAAATAACCGATCATATAAATTTCTTTTATATTAAGTTTTGATTTTATTTTTAGTCACTACAAAATTGGTAATCAATAGAATCCATTTTATCGCTTCTAGAAAGGGAGAGAGATTATTATATATTACAGACGAGGACGACTATAATTTAATGGACCCATATAACTTAAAAAATCCAATAGATGGAAGTGATCTTTTTGAAAAGAATAAAATTCAAATTCAAGAACCATACATAATTCGATCGGATGAAATATCGGACAAAATAATTTATACGATTAATGGAAAGGTTTTAATTGAAGAACTAGTGCCTGATAATTGGATCAAATACTTACGAAAAGAACTGAAGGACACAAATAGAATTACAACTCTGTCTAAAAAGACAATTGATATTATAACTGAAATTATAAATAACAAATTAACCGACGATTATAATGTTGACAGGGAATTTGAAGGAGAATATTTAAAATGGGGGTTAGAATTAGACGATAAATCAGTCAGACTTACGGTAATTGATTATAATCATCGCAAAAAGAAATGGAACCCAGATGATAAAAAAAAGCATCTAGACATTCTTCCATCATTTTATCCAAATGGAAAAAATTTTATATTATCCTGCGAAATTCTTGAAAATGATGATTTCATTACGATTACATGTATTGGAGTAATTATCTGGACTTATAGAAATGCTGAAATTAAGATGCATTATTATTGGAATTATTGGAATTATTGGAATGATAGTTTAGAACAGTTCGGATTTGAAATGATAAACTGTAAAAGTCCCTTTAAGGACTGGACTCCAGAAAGAATTCTTCCTGCTTCAAATTATGAAACTATCTATAAAAATTTAGATATTAAGTTCGGTAAAGGTGAAATACAGCTTTTCAAATTTTTTTTGGAAGATAACATAAAAGAAGAATTTTATTTAACTTGCTACGGAAAAATTCTCATGAAAACATTTATTGAATTAAATGACGATAAATGGATTCGATCTTTAGGAGGCAACTGTATTGAGAACTGTATGCCAGAAAGTAATCAAAATAATCATCAGATTTCTAAAATTTCTTTGTTGAGTATTATTTTTGAAAACTTTAATGAATTATCAGACAATCACCCTGCGTTTATAGCGAGTACTTTATCGTCGATAGGATTTGTAGTGCCTTCTAATGTAGTAACTCCAAATTCCAGTTCTTCACATCTTTCCAGTTATGGAAAATACTGTCATTTATCTGAAACTTCATTATTTGATAGATTAATTTCGAATTTTTGGATTCATTGGATTAGTTTTCAAAAAAGGTTTCAAAATATTCTTCAAAATTTTCAAGAAAGTCACCCTTTTTTTGAAAAATTCATTGTAAACCCAATTATCGGCTTTTATTCTGAGAGTCATAGTTCAACCATACTTGCAATTCCTTTACCAAACTTTGTTTCTTATCCAAAAGATTACAAAGTTTGGAAAGAATTAGTGTTACCTGCTTCCAATCCTTTTGCATATTCGAATAAGGTTGAAATAATAAATGAAGAATTCTATAGATATTTAAATGGAGAGGCACTGCTTAGATTTAAATGGAATACTTATGGAAAAAAATATTATTATACAGCTTGGGCGGTTTATACTATTTTTCTTTTTAGTTTCATAAGTGCTGCAACATATTACCAAAATATTTCTCAAACTAGTCTGCTTATTCACTTAAGTATAACTATTTTCCTTGGGATTTGGCACCTGTTTATGGAATTACGGCAATTTATTCTCGAACCATTAACTTATGTGTATTGTGCATGGAATTGGTTTGGTAATATGAATTTAATGTATAGTGTTAATTATTTTGTAAAATTATGACTAATATCCTATTCTTTTTTGTTCATAAACTAAGATTTTGGCGCATTTTTACTACCAACAATAACATCAATTATTTGGCTTCAAAGTAATGACATACCAACAGAATGGGCTACCTTTTCCACTTTATTGTTAGAAATCAAATTTCTTTTATATTTTCGTGCAACTGAATTCTTGGGTACTTATTTCTCTATGATACTTGGAGTAGCTGAAAGGGGGTTTTCGTTTTTGATAATACTAGGATTTATTTTAGTCGCCTTTGCACACTCATTACACATTTTATTGCGCCCTACTATTAATGTATCTTTGGATTATCCAAGTTATTCCACTGATCCGAATGATCCGTGGAATTTGGCTGCAACTTATAGCACTATAGATCCTAATGGCAATATTGAAGATAGTCCTTCACTTATTGAACCTCCTACCGCAACTACAAATATGTTTATGTTTATGAGCACAGCAATTTCTGCTGTTTATATTATGCTAACAGGTGAAATTTAAACTATTCACTTTTTGAAATTCGCTTTGAATCATTGGTGCAACTTTTTATACATTTCTGGTTAAAAAAAAAAATAAGAAATTGTCCGATATACCCAGATATATGTTCAACCAGAGGCATTTTCATATTAGATATATTACAAAATATGTCGTTATAACCAGATGTCAATATAACCATAGTGAGCGTACTAACATGTAAAATGTGTACATTTTAATAGGAGACACAACACCAATTTCTTACTGGGATTTAGATAGTAACCCTACTTTACTCATCCTAACGATAGTATTTTCTTTCGGGGCAACTATTTACTTGATGAATTTGTTTATCGGTTTGCTAAGTAATGCAATAAGTGAAACTAATCAAAAAGAATCATATTTAATATTAAAAGCTGAGGTATGTCATTTATAAATTATTTATGTTTATATATTATATATATATATATATATATATTGATTTAGTTTTAATTTATTGGATAGGTATTAGAAGAAATAGAACTATTATATATGTTACCTCATCAACGAAGAAAGGAAAATTGGTTTCCATTTGTTGCGTAAGTTATTTAATTACATGCTAAAGAAAACCTTATTTCTGTTACTTATCTATTTTTACCCTAAAAGTTTTTATGAATGCCACACAACTAAACTTCGTGAGCTTGTAATTGATATTGTCCAAAATAATAATTGGTCTGGTTATAAAAAGCCTTACGTCTCAAAGAACCTTAATGAAGTTC